ACAAAGGCAAAAGGCCATGGGGTCGTCCTGAATGTGTGCGCGTCAAAAACTTGCACCTGGGGGAAAAGTTTGGCTCCCTGAGCACGAATTCCATGCTCGCTTGTTGCGAGAGTGCCAGCGAGTACGTTACGGGCATTGAAGGCAATCATAGGCAAATATGCCCAGATTTGTCAGAAGTTCCATCAAGCTCCTTATACAGGAAACAAGACAGCAGGGTTGATGCAGCCAAATTTCAAGCCGTTATTGTTATCCGTTCAGGCAACTCTATAATAATTAGCCTTCTCCGCTCGGTTGACCTGGTAGCTAAACCCCTTGGAGGCCCCAGGGCCAACCACGTCCCAGATTTTGCCATGTACATAGAATGGAAAAAAATCGACAATTTTAGGGTTTCCTCATATTCCATTCGTTTGGGGGAGGTACAGGCTCAGGATTCACATCACTTCTTATGGAACGGCTATCGGTTGATTACGGCAAGAAAAGTAAGCTGGAATTCTGCATCTACCCAGCACCGCAGGTCAGTTCAAAGTAGATTTTTTTTCAACCGGGCGACTTGGAAGCCAATAATATTTCTTGATTGGTGGTATTCTATTAATCCTTCTACCAGGTTTCCACATCGATGGTTGAGCCGTATAATTCCATTCTCACCACTCATACCACTCTTGAGCATTCGGACTGTTCCTTCATGGTGGACAACGAAGCCATTTATGACATATGCAGACGAAATTTGGATCTTGCTCGTCCCACCTACACAAATTTGAATCGTCTCATCGCTCAGGTAGGTAAATTGAGGTATCCGACAGGAGGCCCGTCGTGCGGCGAGAGAAGCAGAGACGCAGACGATCAGCCCAACGGGTACCCCCAGGAGGCCCGTCGCGCGGCAAGAAGGCAGAGTCGGCGGACGAGTTGCAGCGCGTGATGTGCGATGTAGGACGTGCAATGGGACACTCTATTTAACTTGACGCGAAATCCCTATAGTACGCGCGCGACTCGTCCGCTGACTTTGCCTTCTTGCCGCGCGACGGGCCTCCTGGGGGTACCCCGAGTCGCAGCG